TTCTAAATGTTTAAATAAATGAAAGTCGATTGGCGAAAGATCTGGTGAATAAGGTGGGTGCTGTAAAATTTCATATTTTAATTCATTTAATTTTGCAATTGTTTTGTACGATGTTTGCGATCGAGCGTTGTCGTGGAGAAGTATTGGGCCATGCCGATTAACAAGTGATGGGCGTATAATTTTCAATTTTTCATGCATTTCTTCAATGTACTGGCAATACTTTTCGGCTGTAATTGTCATTTCTGTTCGAAGGAATGAGTAGTGTATTATTCCAGTCACATTCCACCAAACTGTGATTAAAATTTTCCGTGGATGAAGTGATAACTGTGGAATATGAGCACAAGCCTCATCCCTATCATGCCACCGAGCACACCTTTTCCTATTGTCGTAAAGAACCCATTTTTCATCACAAGTAATGATCCGATCGAAAAATGGATCTCGATTAAATCGGGTTAGCAATGATAAGCATACGTTCAAGTGATCCAGCTTATTTCGCTCGGTTAGTTCGTGCGGTATCCACTTATCCATTTTTTTCACCATGCAAATTTTAGAAAGATGTCGCAATATTGTTTTATGGTCAACTTCCATTCTGGCAGCAAGTTCCCTTGAAGAAACAATTGGATTCGTTTCCACCAATGCTTTCAGAGCATCATTTTTCAGAGACGTTTCGGGTCTTCCACGCGGTTCATTTTGCAGGGAGAAATCACCAGACCGAAATTTTTCAAACCAACGCTGCACTTTTCGATCGTTCATAATATTCTCCCCAAACGCCTGGTTTATATTGCGTACAGCTTTTGCAGCATTATTACCAAGTTTATACTCATATAAGAAAATTACATGAATATCGGTTGAATTCATATCGGTACAAAATTCAAAGCAAATAACAAAAGGGAACATTTTTGAAAAAATGTTCTAAAATGTGACTCTGGCAATGGACAGTACGACTATAAACCAGGTTATGTCAAAAACAAATGCATAACAAAAACAGGGAATCAAGCGTTCACATTTAAAGAAAATCCGACATTTCATACGCACTAATTTAATATATTAAATAGTCGGAAGAAATTTATGCGGGCAACACTCGAACCAATGCGAATGTCGGATTTAACAATATTAATTTTAGACGAGGGAAAGTTGTGCGAGCGCAACCAATGCGACTGCTGGACCTAGAAATATTCCAACTAGTACTGGAAATGTTATGAGAGTGTACATGAAACAAATGCGATTATCGTACTAATTAATATTTCGTCTAGTCGAAGAAAGATTATGTGAGAGAATTTCGAACCAATGGGACTGTCGGACATAGACACATTAGTCGAGGGAAAGTTATCCGGGTGCCATTCGAACCAATGCGATTAGTGGCACTCGGAAATATTCCGACTAGCCGAGGGAAATATATGCAAGTGCCACTCGAACCAATGCGACTGTTGGACGTAGATATATTCCTATTCGTGGGAATGTTACATGAGTATCTGTCGAATCATTGCGAAGGTTCGACCTAAAAATATTACATCCTGTCGAGGGAAAGTTATGAGAGCGACATGTGAACAAATTCGACTATGGGTCTTGGAAATATTTTAAATAGACGAAAAAAATTTGTGCGGGTATCATTCGAAACAATGCGACTGTCAAACTTGGAATTTTTCCGATTAATCGAGGGAAAATTATTCGCGTGTCAATCAAACCAATGCGACTGGACGTAGATGTACTCCGAATGGAAGAACGAAAATTATGTGGGGCCTCTCGAACCAAGACTACTGTCGGACTTGGAAGTATACAGAATAGTCGTGGGAAGGCTATGCGAATGATTTGGGAAGCAATGCGACTTTGTCACTTGCAAATATTCCGACTAGTCGAGGGAAAAATACACGAGTGCCACTCGAACCAATGCAACTGTCGTACCTATAAATATTTCGACTAGCCCAGAAAAAGTTATACGAGTGACTTGTGAGCCTATACGAATGATGTGCTTGGAAATATTACGAATAGTAGAGGGAAAGTTATGCGGGTTACTCTCCAACCAATGCGACCACCGGTCTTGCAAACATTGTGACTAGTCGAATGAAGGTTATGCGAATGCCTCCCGGATCAATACGACTGTCGGACTAGGTACTATTTCGCCTAGTCGAGGGAATTATATGCGAGTGATTCTCGAAATTATGCGGCTGTCGATCTTGAAAATATTCTGACTATTCTAGGGAAACAAATTCGAGTTACTCTGGAACCAAAGTGGCTGTCCGACTTGGAAATAATCCGATTAGTCGAGGGAAGGTTATGCTAGTATCTTTCGAACCTCCCCCTGTGGGGAGGGGGTAGTAGAATACTCATACAGTACTCCCTGCTTGTCGTAAGGGGCGACTAAGAGGGACTGTGTGAATGGTGTGTGAATATGCTTGTACGGCTATTTCTTTCTTTGTTCTTCTGTCATATCTTTTTCTATTCTTTCTCTCTCTCTCTCTAGCTTCCTTCCGTTCCTTTCCCTAACTTTGAGGAGCCTGACTCCTACTTATACTGCTTTGTAATCATGGCCAGTACAGCTACATATATGAGCGGGCGTGAGAGGGACACCCACGTCACGGCGGTGTCAGGTGGTGGTAGGGCATGCCACCCGCCGTCGTCAACCAACAACTGCCAGGAGCTCGGGGTTGGCAACCTGGCCCAAACTCTTGATACTGCATCAGGAAGGGCACCACAGGTAGGCGACTTGGCCTGCGGTGTACCTAATGCGCCAGGAAGGTTAGCAAAGAAGAAAGCGACTTGAGGGAGTGGCAAAGGGCTGCCAGGGCCGTGGAGAGCATGCAGCGCTCCGGATTGAAGTCACCCATCTTGGAGAGAACGCTCAAACGTGCAAGGGCCCTTATCTACTCGTCAGAGGAAGAGGATTTAAGGGTAGACATGGCCGGATAGAACAAGGATGTACCGGCAGAGACCCTCTTGTCTCAGGTGGAGATTTACTGGAACTCGCCACGAATCATATCCTAGTAGCCGATAATGAGAGAAGAAAATCCACCAACATTAAGGGTTCTGTTTTGGGAAGGACGAAACGCTCCCATAATGATGTGCTAAAAATAATGAAAACCTTAATGGCCTGGATTCAAACTGGAGCAGGGTATCCTCCCTCAACCAAGAAGGTCATGACGTAGTTAAAGGCAAAAATCAGGGCCTTGGAACTGTGCAATTGCGAGTTGACGGATGAAGTTACCCGTCTTAAAGAAGATAAGAGGAATGCATCGGTAAACCCCTTAGCTGAGAGGAGCCAAACAACGACTTCAGAAATGCAGCAGGTAATCGAGTCGGTGAGGATGATGACGGAGGTTGTTTGCATTATTCAGCAACAGCGGCTTCAGCAGCAGCAGCAGCAGCGGCAGTAGACATCGAATAGAGCAGCAACTGGAGCTGGTGGGCCACACTAAGGCCCCACATTCCGTGCTGAGACCACTCGACCCCCCGCGAAACAGGTAAGTGTGAGGGAGGCACTAATCCCGCAGGAGAATTTTGTGGAGGTTATATGCCGCAAAAGGAAACGAGTCCAGAGGAGGGAAGCGAACGCACCCTCCCTGGCTTCATCAAAGAAGGGAGAAAACGACCATCAACCATTGCGAGAGCAGGCCGTCCCCAGGAAAAGGGGGAAGAAAAGGAGTGGCGCGCAAGGAAGAAAGAAGAGGAGGCAAAGGGAAAGGGAAGTCGCTGCAATTTTCCTATCCTGTGTCGAAGAGACGACGTACAGAGACGCACTCCTCCGGGCCAGGAAGAACATAAACATTAACACTTGGCATGTGGGTATAATTCGCCGTCAACTTACGCCCAGAGCGGGCGTTTTTTCGTGAATCGCGCGGAAGTTTGGTTATTCAGAATAACCGAAGTAAATCGAAAACTACTTCGTTTTTATGAACTAAACTTTTTTTATTTGACACTGAAATATATACTGTATGATTATTTAACAAAAAAACGATATTTTTACAAGATCACAAAAATAAACGATTTTTGAAATTTTACAATAATTCAAAAACAAAGCAAATAACTTAAACAACACGCATACATATAATTATACGCATTTGGTAGAATTGTGTTGGTTGGCAGGTATCCAGCACAAATCTACTAAATACGTATTTTTACGTGAACCGCGCTCCAGTGACAGACTGCAAAAAATGTAAGAATACGTTTCCCGCATGCAAAGTGTTAAAGACCTAGGGATCGGCAACATGTCGTGCAGGAGGGGCCTCACGGGTGTCTTTACATAGCAGGTACGAGGCAAAGGGGCAAATGAGAAGGCCGACCAGATGGCGGAGGCCTTGAGGAATGCCGTTCCGGGAGCAAGGGTTACTCGCCCTCTGCGCACAAGTACCACAAGGATAGTAGGACAGGATGCGGTTATAAACACGACCGTCATCGGGAACGCGCTGATGGAGGTGCATTCTGGAGCGGACCCCAACCTTATAAATGTAGGGGAAGTAAGAATATTTGGGGGTAGACTAGGCGAGGCCACTGTCTCGGCTCCAGTACCCGTCATCCGGGCTGCCCTGGAAAAGGGCAGGATAAACGTGGGTTGGACATTGGTGAGAATGCACGGACTTAGGCAGCGGTACCTCAGATGCCTCCGGTGCCTGGCGCGAGGACATGTTGCTGTAGTGTGCCCGGCCACTAAGCATAGGATAGACCTATGCTATATTTATGGGAAGCCGGACCACCTGGCCAAAACATGCATGGATAAACCTGAGTGTCCGGTTTGTGCAGACGCTGGCCAGAAACCGACCAACCACCGTGCCGGTTCTTGGGTGTACACGGTAGTGCCTCCTAGAAAATGAATAGAGAAGGTTTTCTGCAGGGCACCAATTGTTTGCTTTGAAACAATCCAAGAAGACCCGCATAATGTTGCTGAAAAAACAGCAGCGACGACAGTGAGGGTGACCGAGAAGAGGGGAGTGCATGAAGACATGGAGGTTGAACAAGGTGAACCGGGCACCTCAATAGGTGTAGTAGCAGCAGAGGGTCCATAGACAATGTCCTCTGCTATTCTACGGATAAACATAAACCATGCTCACCGTGCGCAGGACTTGCTGGCACAGCGCATGCGCGAAGACAGAGTGGAGATTGCGGTCATTGTGGAGCCATGGTGGTTTCCTCCTGGGGATGAGAGTTGGTTCTCATCCCTAGGAGAGACATCAATCTCCGCGGTGCTTGTGGACGAATGTGAAAGACCCTGTAGCATGGTGCGTCGGGGTCGTTTTTACGTAGCCGTTAAATGGGGGGACTCGCTGGTAGTTTCGATCTATTTTCCTCCCAGCGAGAACATTAACATGTTTTGTAGAATCCTTGATGAGATCGAAGAGCTCTTAGCAACATTCCCCACTCTCCCAGAGCTGGTGGCTGGCGACTTTAATGCCCGGTTCAGCAGATGGGACCCGGAAGGCAGGAGTAACCGTTGGAGTGAGTTGCTCTGCGGCTGGGCGAACAGAATGAACCTGAGTCTGCTGACCCAGGTTGGCTGTCCAATGTGTGTTCGACCACAGGGGTTGGGCGTTATATATCTAACGTGGGGTACGCCGGCAGCTGGCGACCGCCTTTCGGACTGGAGGGTGGATGAGACTGAGTCCCTGTCGGACCATCTATATGTTAGATTTAGCTATAGTCACGAGGCCACAGAGGTCTGAAATTCTCGTCCACAACATAAAAAAGCTCCCGTGATTAAGACTACTTGGTTGGTGCCCTCATTTCAGGGAAGTGGACGGGTGGAACTATATCCAGGGAGAATACGGCCAGTGCGGACTGCACAGACAAACTTGTGAAGTGAGCACAGTCAACACTGAAACAAAAGTGCGACATTGCCATGTCCCGGGTGAGGGTACAAACCCGCGGTAGTAAAAGTACTTACTGGTGGTCGGACGAATTAACGAATCTTAGTGCAGTTGCAAGGACTACAGGAAGGAAACTTTCCAGAGCCTGGAAAAAGAAGAATATGGAGGAAATAGTGCGGTGCATGGACTCCCGAAGGAACGCAAGGAGGGTACTGACTAGGGCCATTAAGGAACCCAAGAAGAACCCCTAGAGTGACCTGCTGGACTCTATAGAGGATGATCCACGGAGCAGAACTTACAAATTCGTCTTGGGGAACCTTATGCCTTATGCCAGTAACTGAAACTCTGGAGGACGAGGTACTAGAGAATATAAGCTCTGAACTATTCCCAGGAGAACCGGGAACTGATGAGCCGCAGGAACCTGCACTCTCAGAGTTGACTATCTCTGCGGAGGAGGTCTTGGCTACCGCCAGGAAAGGAAAAGGAAGAAAGCTCCTGGATTGGATTGGATAACGGCTGTGGTTGTGAGTGCTGCGTCGACACACTGTGAGAAAAGGTTCCTTCTCCGGGAAGTGCTTCTCCGCATACTTGAGGACTGGAAGATTCCCGACAGCGTGGCAGATAGCGAGGCTCGTCCTGATCAAAAAGAAAAGGGATGCGCCCCCAGACTCACCAAGATCATGTAAACCCATACGTGTGATTGGCGAACTAGGGAAACTATTCGAACGTATAGTTGTTCAACAGCTACATAAAGGAGATTCTGACCCTAGCACCATTTGGGACGGGCAGATCCACTGTAGATGTTGTCCTCGATACTAATAAATTTGTGTAGGCATCGACGTGGGACAAGAAAGTAATTATCCTGGTGTGTCTGGATATCTCTAACGCTTTCAACTCCTTACCATGGGCCGTTACCGTTAGGGTGTTGGAGCGGAAAAACTTTTCAAGCTATCTGGTGCACATCATCAGGACTTACTTAGATAATCGCGCCGTAACATATACAAACAGACATGGACGCGCCGTGGAAAGACAGGCGTATTGTGGGGTCCCACAGGGATCCGTTTTGGGCCCTACGTCATGGAACATTGCCTATGACAGTGTCCTCCGAATCCCGATGCCAGGTGGCTCCCGTGTTGCCTGCTATGCGGATGATACGGCCCTCCTATCATCGGGATGGAACCTGTTTGAAACTATCATGAACGCTGAGCATGACTCGGACGTTTTGGTGGAGGAGATCGAGGGGTTGGGTCTTAAAGTGGCGCTGCAAAAGACTGAAGCTATAGCCTTCCCTGCCTCTGTCTTCTGCAGACGCAGGAATGTTCCGCCCCCTAAGATTTGCCTTAGAGGTGTCTGCGTAGAATTTACAACCAGCGTTAAATATCTGGGCACAGTAATATATTCAAGAATGTCGTTCAGGCCCCACTTCAAGGCCCTAATCCCTAAAGCTGAGGGTATCCTCTGGTCCCTTAGGAGGCTCCTTCCGAACCTTCACGGACGAGGGAGAAGAAGCGACGCCTCTACAGCGGCGTGCTCCACTCGATGCTTCTTTATGGGGCGCTTGTGCGATGGCACGCCGTCGTGGGAGGCATGAGGATCGTGCGGGCTGTTCAGTGCCTCCAGAGAAAGATGGTGACCCGGGTATATTATGCCTATAGAACGGTCTCCTTCCACGCGGCTATGATGATTGTAGGGATTATCCCTCTCACTCATCTGGCATCCCGGCTGGCGGCGACGTATGCGGCTGTTAGAGATGCGGAGGAACCTGCTCCCCCTGTGTACTTTGGCTGTATTGAGTGGTCTTGCCAGAAGGAGGGCAGTAGAAGCGTGGAAGTCTGAGGGACTTGGCTCGTAGGAGCAACAGCAGCAACGGGATTGCATGCGAGGGCGCCTATTGCCGAATGGCTATTAGCTGAATGGATTGGGTGGCCGTTCTTTATCGGAACATTTCATACCACACAGCTGATGACTGGCCATGGCTATTTCTCGGCATATCTAAATAAGATAAGGAAGAGTCCCTCCCCATGTTGTTTCCACTGCAGGGGAACAGTATATTGTAAAGGTGGACGCCCGAGGGCGCCTACACCTATGCTACCTCGCCCATTAGGGCATACGCTACCCCACTGCAGGGGGAGTGAGGATACGGCAGAGCACACCTTGGTTGGCTGCCTGGCGTGGACGGATGCCAGGAATGAGCAGATCGATGCGATTAGGGGAGGGCAGCTAACCCTTCCCGTGATAGTCAGGGTGTCCATGACTCCCGGAGAGATGGGCGGCCTTCCAGACCTTCGCAGGGCGGTTCATGCGTGCAAAGGAGGACGTTGAGGACGCAGGGAACGGACGCAAGAAGGAAGTATGAGTGAGTGTGCGGGTGTGTATGTAGACAGGTGTACAAACGATAGGCCGCATAGGAGAATAGCTCCAGTATGGCCTCCTCGCGCAAGGTTCTGAGCTGCTCAGGCGGCATCTGGCTCAGGCGTCGCTACCCTCTAGATGTGAATATGTGTATACATACAGTGTGTGTATACGGGCGTGAATGGTCCTGGTCAGAGCAACATGGGGTGGGGATCGGGTCAATATGTATATAGTTATGGAGTAATTGCGTCTCCGGATCTCGTGGGCCCCTGTCACGTGCGCTGTATTTGTATGACTGATGATGAATGGATAAGAGCAAGGCGAATACAGGCCTAGCTCACTGAGGAGGGATACTGGGCGAATTTGTAATACACTTATGCGCGAACCCGCCCCCCCCCCTACTCTTTAGCGTATTAGTAATAAGGATCGGGAGGTTTTTTAATTGGAAGGCGAACCGAACCTGAGAGTATTCTCAGGCGGGTTGAATCCGACACTCCTCTGAGTATCGGGCTCTGAGGGCCTATGATGGTCTTTCCTCCTGACGAAACAAAGAAAAAGTACCTTTCGAACCAATGCGTCTGTAGGACTTTGAAATATACACAATCGTTGAGTGAAATTCTTGCGAGTGACTCTCGGACCAATGCGACTGGTGGACTTGGAAATATTCCCAGTAATCGACGGAAAGAAATGCGAGTGCTTCTCGAACCATTGCGACTGTCGTGCTTAGAAAAATTCTGACAAGTCGAGGAAAAGATATGCGTGTGCCTCTCGAAACAATGCGACCGTTGGACGTGGAAATATTCCAACTGACCCAGGGAATGTTATACGACTGCCACTCAAACAAATATGACTGTCGGGATTGAAAATATACTGACTAGTCTAGGGAAAGTTATACGAGTGCCTCTGGAACCAATGCGGCTGTTGGACATGGTTATATTCCAACTATTTGGAAGGAAGTTATGTGAATGCCTACCGAACCAATACGGCTGCCGGACTGGAACATAATTCGACTATTCCACGGTAAGTTATGCGAGAGCCTTTAGGGCCAATACGACTGTCAGAATTGGAAATAATCCGACTAGACTAAGGAAACCAATGCGTGTGCAACTCGATCAAAAACGAATGTCGCAGTTGGAACTATTCTGACTAGGCGAGTGAAAGTTATGCGTATGCCTCTCGAACTAATGCGGCTGTCGGACTTGGAAAAAACTCGATTAGTCAAGGGAAAGTTATGCGATTGCCTCTGAAAGCATTACGTATGTCGGACTTGGTGACATTTCTACCAGTCGAGGGAAAGTATAATATTAATATTAATAATAGAAATGATAACGATTATAACGATTATAACGTTAATAACAATAATAATAATAATGATAGTAATAATAACGATAATAATAATAATAACAATGATAACGATCATAACGATTATATCTATAATAATGTTAATGGCAATAATAATAACAATAATAATAGTAATAACGCTAACAACGATAATAACAATAATATAATGATAATAGTAATAATAATAATAATAACAATAATATCGATTATAACGATAAGAACGATAATATCGATAATACCGATATTAAGGAAAACAACGAACAATACGATTATAACGATATTAAAGATAATAAATATAAAAACAATAATAACCATAATGACGTTAATAAAGATAATATCAATAATAACTTTAATAAAGATAATAATTACAATAATAATACTAACGTACAAAACAGTAATAATTATAATAACAACGATAATAGTAATAATAATATTAATAATAATAACAATAATGACGATAATAACGATAATAACGCTATTAATGGTAGTAATAATAATAATAAAAATAACGATAACAATAAGAATACCGATAAACACCGTAATAATGATCGTAATATTAATAATAACTCTAGTAATAATAATAACGTTAATAATGATAATAATAACAATAAAAATAATAATAACGGAAATAACGATAATAAAGTTAATAATAGTGAATATAATAATAACAATGATGATAATAACTATAATAAATATTATAGCAGTAATAACGATAATAACGATAATAACGATAATAACGATAATAACGATAATAAAAACGATAGTGATAATAATATCATAAAACAATAACTACTATAATAACGATAATGTTTATATTAAACATAATAACAATTATGGCGATAATAACGATTATAACGATAATAATGATTATAACAATAATAACGATAATAACGATAAGAACGATAATAAAAACATTAATATTAAGGATAATAATAAAAATGATTATAATAACGATATTAATAATTATAACGATATTAACGATAATAACGATAATAATGATCATTATAACAATAATAACAGTAATAACGGTGATAACAATAATCAAGATAATAACGATAGTAAGGTTAAAACAATAATAATCACGATTATAATAACAGTAACGATTAAAACGACATTAATAAGAATAAAATCGATTATAACCATTATAACGATAATAACCATTA